CTCGGCCGCAGCCGGAAACCGGTCCCGCGCGGAGACCGGGACCCGGACCGCGAGCAGAGCCGGAAACCCGCCATGGCCGGGCCGCGGGGCGCGCTGCTGGCCTGGTGCCGCCGCCAGTGCGAGGGCTACGGCGGCGTGGAGATCCGCGACCTGAGCAGCTCCTTCCGGGACGGCCTGGCCTTCTGCGCCATCCTGCACCGGCACCGGCCAGACCTGCTGTAAGTGCCGGGCGCTGGGCGAGCCGGGTGCGCGGGGCGGGCGGGGCTGGGCACCGCCGCTCCCCTCAGTGACGCGGTGGCGGGCGCCGCCCCCTGGGGGGACACGACCCAGCCGACAGCCCCGAACGCCGATCGGGTGCCCGAGACCCCTGACCTGTTCCCCGAGACCCCCGATGGGGCAGGCCCCCCTCCCCCACCAAGCCGTCCGGGCCCCGCCCTGAGGGACGCTGAACCCAGCGCGCCGGCCGAAGGGCTCTGATTTGCTAGGGATGCTGAGCCCCTGACTCCCTGACCTCAGAAGGAACACTGAACCCTCTTTGGGGAACCCGGGCCTCTCCCATTTAAACTTCTCTCTAGCGGGCATGCGGAGCCCTCCTTCTCTTGGGACTCGGGACACACTCTTCTGTAGGGGATCAGATGTGCCACCCCAGAGGAGACTTCTTTGGCAGATTTGAGCAGATCTGAGAAACTGCAGTCCCTGCAGCCCTTTTGTAGAAGAAATTAACATCTATAAGGAAAATCTACCTGAGCAGTCTCTGTGCCCAGTACCAGAACCCTCTGCAGGACCTGCCGGCCCTTATTGGCTTCTTCTCCCACGCCCAAGTCCCTGTGCTCTCTGTAGCTCAGGATACTGTATAAGCTTCCATTACCTGGCTCCTCTTCAAGTCCCAGAATCTGTGAGAGACTCATGCTGATGTGTATAATTAAATTCAGTTTTTCTTCTGTTCAGACCTTTTATGTCAACCTGATTTAGAGCCCAGCCAGAATCTAGAAAGGTAGAGGGAAGGCCTCCTGGCCATCCCCGTAAACCATTGAGTGCTGATCCCTCTGAGGCTCCAGGCTGTGAGAACAGTGAACCCTCCTTCTGTCTCCAGGGCATTAGCTCGGTTCCTGGCACAGAGGAGCCCCTAGATTAACGGTTGCTAGATGGCTAGAGGTACACCGAGCTCCCGAACAGCTCCGCACTGGGGATGGGACCTGCCTCCCCTTTGGACTTGCAAGGGGCAGGAGGAAGAGTCAGGAGGGATGCATTGGAAGGACTCAGGGGGTCTGACTGACAGCCACCAACTGGCCTCCAAGCTTGAAGTGACCCCTTTCTGCCTGGAGCTGTCCAGTGAGGTTCTGGTGGGACAATACAGTCTGTTCCCCAGTGCGGGTGACATGAGGCTTCTTTCTCAGCTCTCTGCTGTGAGAGCTGGAACTCCTTCCTTCCTTCCTCCCATTCATGAAGGAGTGAGAAAGTGTATCCGGTGCCCACCATTTATTTGGCTTTGGCGCTTGTCTGCAAATTGGGGGTGGAAGTCCTGGTCCTCCCTCTGGGTTCGCTCGGCCTGGCAGGGCCTGGAGTCCTGTGTGTTTCAGCTCCAGACCTGCTTCCCATGGAGGGCAGCACCTGGCAGGGCCCGGAGAGGATGGTGCACTGGTGCACAGATCTGGTTTACTCTGGCCCTGTGGCATATGGCTGCAGTGGTGGGCTGGGCTCAGGAGCAGGGGCTGATGATAGAGGAGAAGGATGCCTGGGCTGGACCCTGTGTTGAACCAGATGCTGGGGGCCTTTTGTTTCGGCTGCAGGGAGGAGGCAGGGGGCAGGGGACAGACATAGAGTGAGAAGGGACTTGGATGCCAAGCTAGCCTGTTCGGTGGATCCAAGCCTTTTGACTGAAATGAAGGTGTGAGACCTCGGGTGAATCATTGGTTTCCTCAGGACATCTGTAAGGTGGGAGTGATATAATGAGACCTACCTCACAGGATTGTGAGGATTGAATGAGGTAATAAACATGCAATTAACATTAGTTCTTCTAAGTACAGTAGTGCTATTAGGCTGGCGGGGAGGATGACAGTGTCTTGGTACTTTCATTTATTCAATAAGTATTTATAGGGCCAGGGATGTAGCTCAGCGGCATAGTGCTTGCCTGGCAAGTGCAAGGCCCTGAATTCGATTCCCAGTACCAAAAAAAAAAGGTATTTATAGTTACTGCTCTGTGCTGGGCATCATACATGGTGCCAACCACCAAAACCTGAGGGCCCCCTCCCCCTCTCCCGCATTGTGGGGGAAACAGGTGAATAAACAGTGGCAAAAATTCCATCTACTCTTATCAGTGTCCCCACTGAGACCTCCCGGGGAGAGCGCAGGCTTGGAGGAGACGAGAAGCCAGGTGACAGGCCAGGGTCAGGCCAGCTGTGGGCCCCACGGGAGCAGAGGCCTAAGGCCTGGGTTTGTGCAGGGCCACCACCCTGGGCTGGTGACACAGGGCAGCAGGAGTCAGGAGCTGGGCTCGGCTGGGCTGCCGAGGGCCTCTGGCTGGCTCTGGAAGGCGGATGGGGGCTGGGGATCATGTGAGCTTTGGCAGGGCACGATGTGCCCGGAGAAGTGTGAAAGGGAGGGCGGTTCCCCTCCCAAGATGGGACCCGAAGTCAAGTCCAGACCTTCCTTTGCCATGGAGGCCAGTGACTGGGTGGGAGGGAGACTGAGGCCCAGGCCCCACAAGGCCCAGGTCTCCAGGCATAGGGAAGACCTCAGCTATGGGTAGGGGTGGATGTGCATGAGAGTTAGGGATGCCATCTGGGGTAAAGTGGTCCAGGGCTAGTGTGGACCCAGCCTCTGCCAGGGAGAGCGTTCTGGGCTGCTCTGGGCTCTTCCCCCTGGTCCAGACATTTGTAAGCGCCTTTGAGACCAGGGACCATGTGGATTTCATTTTTGTTCCTTCATCTCCCCTAGAGACACATGGAACTTTCCAGGCCTCTGAAAACTTTCAGAAAAGATCTGTGGTGCCAAAACCCAAATGTGAATGAGGGACAAAGATGAGGTGGGAGAAGAAGCTGGAGGAAAAACTGGAGTGTCCTGTGGGTTCTTACAGTTTTCAGCATTTATTCATTCAGCAAACATTCATGTTATTGAATACCAGGAGCTGTGTATGTGTTGCAAGGACAGGATGGATAGAGTGTGATCCTGGCCTTCCAGGAGCTCTGCTGGGGAGGCTGAAATAAATGGCAGAGACAAATCCCTTGGCCTGTCCTCGGTGTCACACCCAGAGGCTGAGCTTGCTGAATGTCCACTCTTGGGCAGTCGTGTGCCATACCAGGGGTGTCTGTGAGGCAGCCGGGGGTCCTGGCCACAGTTGGCAGAAGGGGCCGGAGCTCACATGTGACCCCCTCTCCCCCAACCCACACAGCCCTGCTGGGGGTGGCAGTGTGTGTGGGGGGGTCCACTTGGATTTCCTGCTCTTGCCTGGGGAACTGTGGGGGGCATCGGAAGGACCCCCGCTTTACCAAGCTCAGACTCCACAGGTCTGGCAGCCGCGGCTGGTGCTTTCCTTGGCTCACAGATGAGAAGATGGGGCTGAGAGGGCTGCTGACCTGCGCAGGGTCACACAGCCCCGCCTGGAAGAGATGCAGGCCTCACAGGCCGCAGTTTGCAGCCATAGAAGGAAGGGGAGGCCGCCGGCAGGCGCAGGAGGGCTGAGCTGCCTCCATGGGGCCTGCAGTGGGAGGGGCGGGGAGGCGGGGGATAAATAAAGCCAGCAAGGCGGCCAGCTGTCCCATGCTTTGGTCTGGGCAGATCCTGCCGCCTCTCACCTGTCCCAGCCTAGAAACTGGGAACCCCCTCATGGCTCCCTCATGGGAGGCTGTCCCCAAACAGTCCCCTGGGGTGGCCTAGTGAGGCGGAGCAGCCATCTAGCACAAATGGCTCTGTACCTTTTCCACTCCGGTTCAGACTTGCTTTTCTGTTCCTGGCCTTGTGAAGAAAAGCATTCGTCCTGTGCCTGCCGAGTTCACACTCAGCAAGTGTGTGTGGCTTGTGTGTCTGTGACATGCGACTGAAGAGACACCAGCACAGATTCTGAGGGCTGGGTGGCCTCAGTGTCCTCATCTGTAGAATGAGATACATAACCCCTAAGTACAGCTGCCCTGGAAGTCGGCCAGAGCAGTGAGGAGCTGGGCACGGTGCTGCGTGTGGGGAGGCAGCGTCCTCGATGCCCACTGGCACCAGCGTCTGGCCTGGCTCAGTCTCGACTTCATCACTGACGCAGGAGATAGCTTCCTGGGGAAGGGTCTGGACTCAGGAAGGGCAGGGATCGGAGACTTGAAAGTGCAGCCTTGGGCCCGCCCCTTCCCAGTGACTTCCCAGCCTCTGCTGGGATGCTTGTGGGGACCCTGAGCTCACCTCTGCTCCCTCCTGGCAGTGCTAGCTCTATGAGTAAGGGCTGTTGCCTCAGTTTCCCTCAAATCCACAGCCCTCCTCCCTGAGCCTGGCTAGCGGAGGCTAACATCGGCTGAGATGGGTCCCTTCTCCCTGCTTCTTTTTTTCTTTTTGAGATATGATCTTACTATACAGTGCGGGCTAGCCGGGTGTGGTAGCACACGCCTGTAATCCCAGCACTCAGGAGGCTGAGGAGGATCATTGCGAGTTTGAGACCAGCCTGGGAGACAAAGTGAGCTCAGGCCTGCCTAAGCTGCATATTAAGACCCTGTCTCAAAAAGAGAGAAAACAAACAAACAAACAGTGCGGGCTGGCCTTGGACTCACCTAGCCCAGGCTGGCTTGGAACTCACGGCGTTCCCCTGGCCTCAGCCTCCCAAGTGCTGGGATTATAGGCGTGCGCCACCATGGCCAGCATCACCACTCCTTTCCCGTCCTGCCCCATGGCCTCATCTCTTGACCCACCCTCCTCTCTTTGCCTCTCGCAGAGATTTTGATTCCCTTTCCAAGGACAATGTCTTCGAGAATAACCGTCTGGTGAGTCTGGGGCCCACTGTGGGTGCGTGTTTGGGGGAGGACGGGGGTCTTATGCAGGTCCTAGAGAAGGGCTTTGCTGTCCCTGCCCATCCCTGCTCCCTAGGTGCCTTGCCTGGAAGGTCTTGGGGTGTTGGAGGGGGCTTGGGTGGTAGTGAAGCTGAGGGGACCCAGTCACCCTGTCCTGCTGCAGTAGTGCACGCTCTGCCTACTGACGCTGCATCCCCGTGTCCTTCTTTCTCTGCTCTGGCCACGCCCACCACCACCCCGAACCTCCCCCCACCAGGCCTTTGAAGTGGCTGAAAAGGAGCTGGGAATCCCCGCCCTCCTGGATCCCAATGACATGGTCTCCATGAGTGTCCCCGACTGCCTCAGCATCATGACCTATGTGTCCCAGTACTACCACCACTTCACCAGCCCCAGCCAAGGTGAGAGGGGCCCCCGCCCTGCAGGGGGCTGGTCCTGGGGTGCTCCTCACTTGTTCTCTGCGTGGCACATAGGCAGTGGGGGTGTCGGCCCATCACTCATTCAGTTAATCATAAAGTCATTCATTCAAGTTTTTCCTGAGTAAAACAGCACTGGGTCGGGCCCTGGGGACGCAGCTGGGAATGGGCTCGATGTTTAGTCTTGTGGGGGAAATAGAGGACAAACCCAGGATCCAGAACGTAAACACAGTAATGTCAGGGGACTGAAGCCGGTGCGCTCATCTGCCCTGGGAGTTCACCTCCACCCACCCTCACTTCCGGTCTGCAGTGCAGTCGCTTTTCTGGGTTCTTCCTCCACTAGGGTGGGTTTCTGTCCTGTGGGGCCCTTGGGGAGCGTCTTCCACAGAAGTGAGCTCCAGACAGGCTGGGGAGCTGGGGCAGAAACCTCTCCTGGCCCAGCTGGCCCTCCCCTTCGCAGGGCGGAAGTGGGCCCAGCAGGGGAAGCAGGGGCTCAGGAACACACAGCAGAGAGCTGGACGGCTGGGCTGGGAATCCGGGAGTCTGATTCCTTCCTGCTGGGGTCACTGCTGCCCATGGGTCCTGCCTGGCTCCAGTCTCTGCTCCCCAGCTGGGCAATCCCAGTCCATCTCTTAAGGCAAAAGTAAAAAAGTATTCTTTTGTTACTAAAAGTGAAACTTATTCACTACAGAAAATTTAGAACACAGAAGAGGCCGAAATATTAAAAAAAATCTACCATGCCCACCCCAAGGCAACCCTGGGGGTTCATGTTATAACTGAACAAACAGCATCATGTCTGTTATAGCAGGAATCAGAGTGAAAGTACAGGCAGGCCTGTGTGTCCTCAGGCCCTACCTCTGCACAGGCACCAGCTCTGGGCTGAAGCTATGTGAGGGGCTGGTGGGGTGCTTGCCCAGTTAGAGCTGGGTTTGATTCCCAGCACAGTAATAATAAAAACAATAGTAATAGTAACACGTGTATATTTGAATACCTCTTTTTTTTTTTTTTTCCTGTATCAGGAATCGAACTCACTACCTTGCACTTGCCAGGCAGGCGCTGAGCCGCTGAGCTAAATCCCCAGCCCCCACATGTGTATATTTGAATCTATACTGAAAGTGCACAGATTTTGTTGGTCACTATTTCCTAAAAATTGTAGCAATACAACTATTTACCTGACCTTCACATGGCATTAGGTGTTGTGAGTTACCTCGAGGTGATTTGCGTATAAAAGGGGATGTATGGAGGTTAAATGCAAGTCTGCCTTTCCGGAGGGCTTCAGCATCCCAGGCCTGTGCGCCTGCCCATATCAAGGACAGAAGCATTCTAGACCCCCTGCAGCCCTTAGAGGCAGTCTAGCTACCGTGGAGGTTAAAGCATAAATTCAAAATTTCCTTTCTGCCCTTTACTGTCTAAGTAACTGTGAGCCAGTTACTTGACCTTCCTGCCTCAGGTTCCCCTTTTCAGTGGGAATAAGAATGGGTCCATTTCCCAGAGTGGATGGGAACGGCAGTTGAGGCGAAGTGTGAAATCACTTCTGGCCCTTACTTAGGACCCAAGATAAGTGTTCTTTTTTTTTTTTCTTTTTTAAGATGAGTGTTCTTATTGCCCCAACTTAGAGTAGCTCAGCGTCGTGGTTGTTCTGGTTGACAGTACTGCAAAGTGATCCACATGCTTAGAAACTGGATTACTGGTTTGGATCTTTTTCTGGCCTGGGAAACAGCTCAGTGTAGTGTACTTACTGCTTTGCTAACGTGTGATGTTCAGTAGGGTAAGTATAATAAATGAATTTTTTTTTTTAAGATGGTGAGATCTCATTATGTAGTTCAGGCTGGCCTTGAACTTGTGGTGATCCACCTGTTTCAGCCTCCTGAGTGCTGGGGTTTATGGGCATGTGCTGCCATGTCTGGCTATGATGGGTTTTTCAGGATGAAAGCTGAATGTTAAGTTGAGGAGCCGTGTGTGCCCCTTTATTCCGCTGATCCCAGTTAGCCTGCGGAATGCTCAGGGTCCATTAATTGACTGTGACCTGAACTGCAGTTCAATCTTCGATCCTGGACAAACCCAAACCCATCTTAGCCTTTCCTGAGGGGCCCCCTTCCTGTAGGGTGGGACAGGTAGGGGGGGGCCTGCATCTGGGTGGAGTATCCCTTGCCCCGTGGGGGATATCCGAGAAAGGCACTCTTTGTACCTTTCAAACCTCCCACTCTGCACCTAAACACAAACCATTTCTATCCCATCTGCCGCTCACACAAAGGAAACTGTGATGTGTTCCAGCCCCGGGGGCAGAGCTGGCTCTTCATGCCCCCAGATGGTCCTGAGCTGTACTTTCTGGGCGAGGAGTAGAGGGATTTCGTGGTTTCCGCCAGGCTTGGCTTTCCCCGACTCGGTAGCCCTGGCTCCTGCCCGGCTGAGATACTAGTGCTGTGCTGAGGGTTGAGCTTGCTCCGGCCCGTGGGTGCCAGTGACCCCAGGCACGTCAGGTGGTGCGTGCCTCGAAGGAGCTGCAGTCACACAGCGGAGCCAGGGCTTGAGAGAAGGAAGGCTGGTGGCTGTGGGAATCGAACAGGGCCACCGGCTCACAGGGTGCAGGGCAGAGGTCCTCCGGGTGAGTTCAGCTGCTCGGTGTGGCTTCTCAGAGCCTCTCCCCGGGTGGCTGGAGCCACTCTCTGCCTCAGCCGCGTTGAATGTCTTGTGCGTCTTTGATTTTTTTTTTTTTTTTTTTTGAGACAAGGTCTCACTATGTAGTTTAGGCTGACCTTGAACTCACTATGTAGCCCAGGCTGGCCTTCAACTGCTGATGATCCTCCTGCCCCAGCCTCCTGTGTGCTGGGGTTCCAGGTGTGTGTCACCACTCCTGGCTCTTGTGCTAAGCCTCTCTTCTTGTTCTTCTTCCCGTCCCAGTCCCCTTCCTGCTTCCTGGTGGATTCTTTCCTTCTTATGCCCTTATCTTCATGCAAGTGGTGGCTCTGACTTTCTGCGTGCTCCTGCAGCCCCGCCCTGGGAAACAGGCATAATATGTATTTTTTAGTGCGGGGGGATTGAACTCAGGACCTTGTGCATGCTAAGCTGGTGTTCTGCCACTGAGCTGCATCTACAGCCCCATAAAGTCTTCCTCTTTCATCCTCCTTCCTCTCCAGACCACCTCTGCGTTGTTCAGAGCTCTGTAGCCCAGCACCTGGCACTGGCTCATGTCCTTTGCAAATATTTATGAGCCCTGCTGTGTGCCAGGCAAGCGCTGATCGCTGGGGGCGCTGCTGAGACGGACACAGAGCTCATGTTGTAGCTCATGTTGGGGAGGTGGGAGAGCGAGCAGATCATTAAGTAGAATTATTTTAGATGAGTCCGGTGAAGCAATGAAGCAAGGTAATGGGGTAAGAAGCAATGTGTGTGTGTGTGTGCGTGCGCGCTCACATGTGAGTGCATGTGCACATGTGTGCTGGGGTGGGCATGGTGGTGCACACCTGTAATCCCAGGTACTTAGGAGTGAGGTAGGAGGGCTGGAGTGAGTTTGAGGCCAGCCTGGGCTACACTGTGAGTTTAAAGCCAGACTGAGCTACATAGCAAGACTCTGTCTCAATCCCCTCCTCCCCGCTGCCAAAAAAAAAATCTAGGAAGAAATCAGGCCAAGGGCAGGAGCTAAGGACAGATGGCGGTGCAGAGGAAGGAGGTCTTGTAGGGACCTGCCGAGGTCCAGAGCTTTTCATCATGACTCATTGGAAGGAATACATTTCCCATCAAACTCCAAGTTCACACACATGTATATAACTGAAACAAGTTTTAGGAAATGGTTCTTCCCCTTACCACATGTGATGTGCTCGATAGTTGCAGATGTTTTTGTTCTGCAACTGAGAGAGTGAGACCCTATCTCAGAAAACAAAACAAAAAGGCTAGAAGGCTGGGGGTCTAGCTCAGTGCGAAGGCCCTGGGTTCAATCCCCAGTATCCCCCCACCAAAGAAAATAGGATGAAACAAATTTTATTTCTTCTTCCTTTTTTTTTTTTTCTTCAGGTACTGGGAATCAAACTCACGACCTTGCACTTGCCAGGCAGGCGCTGTGCCACTGAGCTAATCCCCAGCCCCGGATGAAACAAATTTTAAACATCTTTTTTTTTTTGGCAATACTGGGGATTGAACTCAAGGCCTTTGCCTGAGCTACATCTCTAGCCCCTTTATTTCGAGAGCCCAGGCTGGACCTGAATGTGCAATCTTCCTGCCTCAGCCTCCCAGAGCCCTGGGATTATAGGCATGTGCTAGCATGCCAGGCTTGTTTTGTTTTTTTTTTTTCAGTGTGCTGGTTACAGCCAGACATGGTAGCACATGCCTATAGTCCCAGCCCTTATTTCTTTTTCTTTTTCTTTTTTAAATTTTTTTAAATTTTGAGACAGAGTCTCACTAAGTTACTCAATTACCCAGGCTGTGCTCCAACATGCTTTTCTCCTGCCTCAGCCCTTCAGGGTCTGAGACTAGTTTACATTACTACACAGTGCCCCTTATTTTGGTGTATACCTCTCTGGATTTGGGGTTTTATTTTGACTTGGGTACAGAGAGGGGCGTGGTGACTATGTGCTGGGCAGGGAGGAGCTGGCCTTAGGGGAGCCCTGGGTGTGGTGGGTGTGGGCGGGTGTGAGGGGCTGCGGCAGGGCTCCAGGCTGCACCTGGTTACTGGGGTTAGGCTGGGCAGCTCCTCGTCCACCCAGGGCACGGGTCCGTCTTCCCGAGGCTTCAGGCCAGCACCGTATGCCTTTTCTTTTCCTTCCCTGCGGCTTGCTTCCCCAGTGGGAAGGAAGCTGCTCGTCCTGCCACATACTGGGAGTTCTGTGACTGTCCCCATGCGGTGCTGCTCATGGTGGCCCTGCACAGTGGGAAATACAGTCCCCGAGGCTCAGTGAGGTTAAGTGGCCTGTCCTCAGGACATGGCTTGGAGATGAAAGTGTCCCAGTCCGCATGATGGGAGCCTGCCCTTGCCCACTGACCTGGGCTCCAACTCGGGTCTGTGACAGCCGGGGCCTCCCGGATGCTGGGTCTCCACGGTCTCAGGTGCCTTCCATCTGTACAGGTGGCGTCTCACCGTCCAGGAAGGACCTGGCCACCTCACCCCCACCATCGGCAGTGCCCTCCCCCGCTGAACCAGGAGATGACACTCAGGTAGGCTGGTGTCCCGGGGAGAGAGGGTGGCTTTGGGGACAGTGACATTGCAGTGACCATCATGAGCAAATTAGCCCTGGTGGCATTTAGGGGGTGTTCTCTATCCTTGCTCGACTAGCTTTGAGAACTGGGTCTCCCAGACCAGGGCAGGGAGCATGGGGCAGGATCCTGCCCCTTCTTCGGGCCCCACAGTGACCTTGCCATCATGGGATAGTCAGGAGCTACACACGGAATAGAGCAGATGTCCCCTGACAGCTATTGAGTCAGAGATCCAAGCCCCGAATGGTTCCATTGAGTGACAACTCGGGGAGGGCAGTGTCATGGGTCCTGGTGGCAGAGGAGGAAGCTCAGACGCAGTGAGGTTTGGTCATTTTTCCCAGGCCACTCAGCAGGGAAGTGGGGCCACTCTGCCAGTCACCTTTTCCAAGGACACTAGCCTTTCACGTGCTCCAGAGACAGCCAGGCCCAAGATGCCGGGACCCAGGGAGGCCATATGGGACCAAGACGGGCAGGGGGTAGACGTGCAGAGACATGGTCCAGGTCACAGTGCCAGCAGTAGAGACACCGGGATTCAACTAGAGGGTCACAGCCCTCATGGAGGGCTACCCCAGAGCGGCCACGCAGAGAGACCGCACCAGAAGCTGCCTTTCCAGGGGACAGGGACCCTCAGAAACCAGAAGTCATGATTTTTGTGTTTCCATCCCAGTTCGGTCACCTGGAACAAGTCTGTCCCCTTTGTGGCCATTGACGTCCTCATCTGGGAGATGGTGACGGTCTCCAGGCTTCTGCCCCTCATAGGGCTCTGATCCTTGTATGTGGCCACCGGGAAGCTTGGGGCACACCTGAGGGTCAGTGGCCATGATGGAGATGACAGGAAGGGCAGGAAAGTGCTCTGGAACCACATGGCTGGTGACTGTCCCTGTTCTCTGCAGAGCAAGGAGCTGTCCTCAGGTAGCCTGTCGGAGCAGGGCACCCAGCGGGCCCCTAGCAGCATCTGTGCAGCCTGCCAGCAACATGTGCACCTGGTGCAGCGGTACCTGGCCGAGGGCAGGCTGTACCACCGCCACTGCTTCCGGTGAGTCACGAGGTACCAGGGCAGGGCCCCAGCTCAAGCACCCACAGGGTGCCAGACCCTGGCAAGGCTCATCCCCGTGTACTGAGGAGCAGAGTGGAGCTCAGCTGGGGACAGAGACCTGCCTAGTCACGTAATTAGTGAGAATTTCATTACTGACACAGGGTCAGTACATGCATTGTTGAAGGCAGTACGTGCATTACAGCCTGAACTACATAGTGAGACCCTCTTACCCCCCCCCCAAAAAAATCACAGTAACTTGATTGAAGTGTGGCTTCCTGAGTGAAGCCAGGTTTAAAGAAAGCAGAATGTAACAGGCAAGGAAAATGTAAAAAATAGACAATCTGCAGTTTAGAGTGTGTGTGCATGTGTGTTGCTGGGTATGGCACCGAGGGTCCTGCATTTGCTTGGCAAGTGCTTTACCCTGAACTATATCCCCAGCCCCAAAATATTTTATATTACAAAGAAGAAACCTGAAAAAAAAAATGAATATAATGAAAGGAAGCCAAAAGTTGACTTCCTGTGCATGTCTAATCTGGCTTAGTGCGTGTGTGAGCGAGAATGGGTGTGGAACCCTGATACAGAGTTGTCATGGGGGAATAGGTTACAGGGCCACAGTCACATCTGGCCAGCGGGGCAGTGTTATAGAAACTTCTTATACTGACTCTTAGTAAAACAAAAAAGTGACTAAGTGTTGAGTACCTGAAATGAAACTTGTGTCAGTAGATGAACAACAGAAAGAAAGGTTTTATAAAACAACCTTTGGCCAGGCATTGATGGCGCATGCCTGTAATCCCAGCACATGGGAGGCTAAAGCAGGAGGCTTGCAAGTTTCAGGGCAGCCTGGGCTACATAGAATGTTCCATGCCAGCTTGGGCCGCATAGTGAGACCCTGTCTTAAAAAAAAAAAAAAAAAAGTTTGGGGCTGGGGCTGTAACTCAGCAGCAGAGGAGCCTGCCTGGCAAACGCAAGGTCCTGAGTTCAATTCCTGGTACCAAAAAAAAAAGTTTGTCCTTGCTGTGTGATTCACTGTGATATATTGTATCTTATTCTGTTTAATTAAATGCATTTGAAAATAAGCAAACAAAAAACCCCGCAAATGTACCTGGGGTGGATTGTAGCTCAGTGGTAGAGTGTTTGCCTAGCATGTTTGAGACCCTGGGTTCAAACCCCAGCATTGCCAAAAAAAACAAAAACTAATCTGGTTGGCTGAAAGGCACCAAACTGATTTCTGGAGCCACTAGCGTGGCACCCCACCCTGCTGGATGGACCTCTGGGGCTGCTTTTGTGTTTCCTCTTATAGTACAGACTCAAGGCCTGTTTCACAATTTCTGGTGCAGATTTCACGCGATTTCATTGTTCCAGTGTTTCTGACAGTTACCACCATTTGCATGTGCTGGGAAATCCTGGTTCTGATCCTCTGGCGGTTGGGAGCACTTGGGGAAGGGCAGCCTTGGCCTCTGGTGGACAGGAACCAGTGTCCAGCAGCTAGGCAAACCCCCGCCCCATTTCACAGGTGTCGGCAGTGCTCCAGCACCCTGCTTCCTGGGGCCTACAAGAGCGGCCCAGAGACGGGAACCTTTGTGTGTGCCGAACGCTGTACCAGGCTGGGCCCAGGGGGACAGGCAGGAACTAGGCCTGGGCCTCCCTCACAGCCAAAGCCACAGCAACTTGCAGAAGAACCCAGGGATGGCGAGGAAGGCGGCTCCACCCCCAGTGTGGCTACAGGACGACCGGCCATCCCCGAGGCCCGGCCACATGTCCCCACCAAGCCCCCGCTTCCGGGAAAACCCCAGGAACTGAGCAGCCCCGTCTCTGGCCGGCCCACGCCTGCCCCCAGGAAGGCCTCTGACAGCATGGCACCAACGCCCCCCACGCCGCGGCCCCGGTCCAGCCTGCAGCAGGACAGCACAGCAGACCAGGGTGGCAGCGGTGGCCTTGTGAACGGTGAGTGAAGGTGCCACGAGGTGGGTGTGTGTGGTTGAAGTGTCCACGTGCATCTGGGAGTGTTGGGGCTTGGGGCGTGTCTCTGAGGTCATTAATTCCTGCCACAGATAGTCACCTTGGGCCTCTCTGAGCCAGGCTTTGTGCTTTGAAGCTGATACAGCTCAAACCAGGCAGACGCAAGTCCTCCAGGCTGCCCCATTCAGTGGGTGTGAATGTCGGGTGTTTGTGTGCTTCTGTGTTTGTTTTGTGTTTCGGGCTGTGTAGTAGTGAATGTGCCTCTGTGTGTGCCTGTGTGTCCTGAGTGTCTTGGGGACTCTGGACACATTGGTGTCACCCCAGTCCCTGCGCATATTCCACGTGACCTCCCTCACCTTGAGGCAGGTGTGTCCTTGTCAATGTCTGGCTGGGGAGAGAGCTCAGAGGCTTTAGGGAGGACGGGGTTCAGGGTACCCTGAGCTACTCTGAAATGCAGTGCAGGCCCCAGCCAGCTCCCTGGGTCCCTTCCTGGGAGGCAGGGCTTCCAGGAGAGGGTGGCACCTCGGCTAAACAGAGACCATTTCCTGCCTGCACTGGGGAAGTGTCTGAGAGGACCCAGGTTCTTTTTTGTCAAGTGAATTACAAGTGGGGGTCTCTGGAGGCTCGGCCACCTGGTCACCTGCTCTTGGTACTGTTCTTCTGGTCACCTTCAGTGCTTATCTAATCTCCCTGTGGGCTGGGCAGGGGAGGTGCCAGGTGCTGGGGAGGTTGCTGTGGTCACCCCGGGTCCATGACCTGTGGGTAGGCAAGGGCACTGCTTGGGGAGGCAGCCACTCTGCCTTGCTCATGTGCCGCTGTGCTACCGATGAAGGCCTGGCTCACTGTCCTTTCCAATCTAGGAAGACTCCAGGAGCCCCCTGTCCCCAAGCCCAGAGGGACACCCAAGCTGTCAGAGAGGTATGTTGTTGCCTGAGAGGTTCTTCTGCTTTGGTGGCCTTGGTGGTGAGAATGCGGGTCCTTAGGGCCTGGGTGGGGACAGGGCTTCCGGTGGGTGTCCAGGGTCAGGCTTAGGGGGACACTCATTTCTGGGTGAGGATGGAGAATGGTACCCATGGTCCCTTACCTGTAGCTCCCTCTGAGAGTCCAACTGCCACTGCCTGGCCTAGTCCTCAGGAGGAGACACCGCCCGCAGAATCACCTAATCTCGCAGCCTCGCCTCCCCCATAACATGGGAGACCCGGGACGGCGTGGGAAAGCCTGGCGGTGGTGCCAGGCCTTTGAGAGCTGTGCTTTGGGTGGCCAGGCTGTCCTAGCAGTTGGAGTGCTTGTGCACCGTGACACCCAGGTGCTGGGTGTGGAACTCACTGAGTGCCTACAGCAGCCCTGTGAAGCGTTACTGTCCCCATTTAGCGGATGAGGGGCCCGGTGCACAGGGAGGCCGGGTGGCTTTGTTCGAGTGTCACATGCAGCCCCTTGTTGGACTTTTCCTGGGCTGCGTGATTGAGGGTCCACCCCATGTGGGCCTCGGGGTGCCCAGTGGGGATGTCACTGGAATGATCCATCGTAGTGTTGGGTCCAGATGGCCCTTGGGCTGGGGGAAAAGAGAAGAGCAGCTTCTCATCACCCACGTGCAGACGGATTCCCAACATCCTGAGAGCGGGAGGCTGACCCCTCGCCCGGCTCATGCTTTTGCAGGACGCCACCCTCCAGAAAGGAGCCCCCGTGGATAGCACTGGTGCAGGCAGAGCCCAAGAAGAAGCCAGCCCCGCTGCCCCCCAGCAGCCCCAGGCCACCCAGCCGGGCCGGCAGGCAGGTGGAGAATGGTGGCTTGGAGGAGGCTCCCCAGCACAGCCCGGCAGCCGGGGCCAGCTGCGAGCCCAAGCCCTACAACCCCTTTGAGGATGAGGAGGAGGAGGCGGAGGAGCCATCTCCAGCAGCACCCAGCCCGGCCCCTAGTGCTGCCCAGGCGCCGCCCCCAGAGTCCACCCCCAAGTCCCTGCACCCCTGGTACGGCATCACGCCCACCAGCAGCCCCAAGACGAAGAAGCGCCCTGCTCCCCGTGTGCCCAGCGCGTCCCCGCTTGGTGAGTGCCTGCCCAGTGCTGTGCTGACCTGGGACAGATGGGCCAGGGTGGGTGCTGTGCCCAGGAGCCGCTCCAGGCCAGGTGCCCTTGGGTGCAGGGTTCACTGCCCCTGCCACTCACCTCAGGGCAGACCCTACAGGTGTTTTTTGTTTTTTTTGCTTGTTTTTTTCCTGTACTGGGAATTGAACTTACGACCTTGCACTTGCCAGGCCTCTCCTACAGGTGTTATTACTGTGATTTGCATAAGGCCTCCCAGTGCTGAAGCAGTGGGGGTAGATTTGAACCCTGGCAGTCTGGGCCCAGGGTCCCTCCTTTTAACCCTCCCTGCTGTGCTAATTAAACATGGGTTTGGGAAATGGGTTGGGCCTGGTGGCTCATGCGTGTAATTCCAACACTTGGGAGGCTGAGGCTGGAGGATCCCTGTGAGTTCAAGGCCAACCTGGGCTACATAGTGAGTTCAAAGCCAACTTGAGCTATGTAGCGAGACCCTGTCTTTAAAAACAACAACAACAGCAACAACAACAACAACAACAAAAACATGGGTGTGGGGGAAAGAAAAAAGGGCTGGGGGTATAGCTCAGTGGCATGATGCCTGCCTGGCAAGTGTGAGGCCCTGAGTTGGATTCCCAGTACCAAAAATCAAAACAAAACAAAACAAAAACCTCATGGGTGTGGGGAGTGTGGGGCACAGCCCAGCTTTGGGCTTCTGGGAGGCCCATGGTAAGGCTCAGCTCCCCCACTGCCTCACTGGGTCACTGTCACTTGAATTGCTGAACAACCTGGGCTCTCACCTGGCAGTGTCCCCGTCTGTGAACAGGGGGTGCCCAGGACTTCCTCCCTCCTTGGGGCACGCTGTACTTTCTGGCTGTCCCCGTCTCCCAGTCTTTGTACCCGCTTGGTCACCTTCCACCACAGCTGGAGCCTGACTACCTCCGAGAGCCTAGCGGGCCCTCAGCATGTTAGAGACGAGCGTGCAGGTGCTTGGGTGGCTTGATTCTGGGACCCCTTGGTGGGCAGACATGGGAAGAGCAGAGGGCATGTGCTCCAGAGGTGGGCACCATTCTGTTCAAGCCCCGGCGTGGCTGGGCGAGTGCCCTGTCCTCGCTGAGTTGTTGGGCCTCACCTGGGAAGCCTGGGTGGCTTGGTCCCTGTCCTGGGCAGGAGGGTGAAGTGGTCATTGGCAGTGCCTGGCCCTGGCAGCACTGCTATCCCTCCTATTGGAGGCGGGGAGGCCGGCTTGGCCTCTATGGCCTTCCCATCTGTCCTGCCCTGCCCTGGACCTTGCTTGCCCTCTAGTGGGCTCGAGCCTGGGATGGCTGGGTGGGGGCGGGCATGGGCAGCAAAGGCAGCAGCTCTGCTGGGTGAGGGTGAAGGCCATCTGTGTGCCAGGAGCTGCCATGCCAGAGCACAAAGGCAGCGTGGGTTCTGGCGACCTGACACTGTGACGTGGCTCCTGGGCCACCTGTGCACCTGGGGAGCGGAGCGTGCCCCAGCTGGAAGCCTGACCACCCCCTTGCTTGCTTGGCCCTACAGTTCTCCACGCCTCCCGCCTCTCGCACTCGGAGCCCCCCTCGGCCACGCCGTCGCCGGCCCTTAGCATAGAAAGCCTTGCGTCCGAGAGCTGCAGCCAGACAGCAGCTGGGGAGCTTCTGGAGCCGCCAGCTGTGCCCAAGAGCTCCTCAGAGCCTGCTGTCCACGCCCCTGGCACCCCTGGGAACTCGGCCAGCCTCTCTGCCCACTCCTCCCTATCCTCGTCTGGGGAGCTGGTGCAGCCCAGCACGGAGCGGGTGCCTCAGACCAGGACGACAGGCAGCTCGGGCTCCCAGCCGGCCAAGCCCTGCAGCGGCGCCGCCCCCACACCTCTCCTGTTGGTTGGTGACAAGAGCCCTGCGCCGTCCCCTGGAAGCTCGTCCCCACAGCTGCAGGTAAAGGTGAGTGCCCTTTCCCCTCGCCGAAGGCTGCGTTCTCACTAAGGGGTGTGGGGCAAGAGTGGCCAGGGCTGTCTGTCTGTGCTGACTTCCCCTTTCTTGTGGTGCCGGGGACTGAACCACTGAGCGGCATCCCCAGCCCTTTGTTCATTTTTCATTTTGAGACAAGAGTCTCATCACGTTGCCCAAGATATACTCAAACTTTTGATCCTCTTGCCTCAGCCTCCCAGAGTTCTGGGATCACAGTGTGCCACCATGCCTAGCTGGCCCCTGACTTCCTCATAGCTTTGGCGGTGTCCCGCTCACCACCCTGTGCAGTGGGCCACAAGCACAAATCCATGTCGTACTTCTGTGCATCTGCCAGACTTCCTCCATCCTTTCAGCTGCCCATCCACTTGGCCATCAGTAGACTGTGCGCTCAGGAATCATTTCCCAGTCTAGGCGCAGGCACTGACCCTGTTTTGCTGTCCACCCTTCTGTCCCCTCTGGCTCTGTTGACGCTGGGCCCTAGGCGTGGTGGCGTGGAGGCCCTGTCCTCACCCTCTGAAGCTCACCGGCACAGGTGTGTGTCCAAAAGGCAGCTCAGTGGAGCAGCAGGGAGGGCAGCTTCCTTCACCCTGACCCTGACCCCTCCTGGAGAGGGGGTGCCGGCCCTCACTGAGCACTGCTATGAGCCTGGGCTCGGGCAGTCACACGGGAGGTGGGGGCCCCCTGTCCTTGAGGGTCATGGCTCCCTTTGTGCAGAGTTTGCCGTGCGCAGGGTCAGCCCCAGCAGGCTGAGGGGCTGACGACACTCCCTGCTAAGCACTCTGTTGGGTGTGCCCCATGGTGGCCTTCCCAGGCCTGATCGATGGGCTCTGTCTTCTCAAAGGGGTGAAGCGGGTGTGAGGAGGGTCTGGCTGTGCCCCTTCCCAGGCATCAGGCTTTTCAGAGGCTCTGTGGGCTGAGGGCACACTTGTGTCTCAGCCCTATATCCTGGAAGAAGCCCATGTGGTAGAACAGGTCTGTGGTCCCAGCTACTGAGGAGGCTGAGGCAGGAGGATTGCCAGTTCAAGGCCAGCCTGGGTCAATTAGGGGGACCCTGTCTCAAAATAAAACATAAAGATTTGGGGGTGTTCAGTGGTAGCCTAGCGTGCATGGGGCCTTGAGCTGTCCCACTAGTCCCACAAAAAAATTAAAAGAAGAAAAGGAATCTGGCGTCTCCTGAGTCCGAACGTTGCTCTGGACACCTGGTTGGCCTCTTTCGGCCACAGTGCCCATCCTGTAGGCCTCTTGGGGCCCCAGGCTTCTCCAGTGCCCAGCACAGGGATGGGACCCTCAGGTGGAGCAGCTGTAGTCTCAGCCTGACCCTTGCCAGTCCAGCCCTACCATGTGCCTTTCAGACCTTATTTGATGTTCCCTGGCCTGGGCCACAGCCTCTCTGCACTAATTGCCGCTCTGCTTCCTGCTGTGTGACCTTGAAAAGGCCCTGCCCTTCTCTGGGCCTCAAGCTGTCTTGCTAAGGAGGGGCTGGGCAGTGCCAGTTGTCCAGATGGCTCCAAGGAGCCCTGAGCCCTTTGGTGGCAGGAGGGGGCAGCAGGGAGGGAGCAGCTTAGGGTCCCCTGCCCTATGCACCTGCTTTTAAGCACTTGCTTCCTGCCTGTGGCTGGAGGGAGAGGGCTTGAGGATGGCCTGTGTGCGTGAAAGGCTGACGAGCCTGAGGGGCTCAGAAGTTTTGGGCTGTTGGCCCCTGCTGGGCCCCTCCGGTGTGTAGATAGAGCAAGGGCGGAACCCCCAGTGGTCTTCCGGGGACCCTGGGCTGGGAGAGAGTTTCAGAGGCAGTGGGGGCAGGAGACAGGGGTCTTAGGGAGCTGCTGTGGTCCTGACCCAGGCCCCCTGGGTGGGTGCTGCCCAGATGCTGTAGGAGACCCCAGCCGGGCACTCACCCTGCTCCAGATGTCCCAGTGCGGCTGCCAGCCTGGGGCGCTGTCCCTGAGCTGGCCTGGATGATGGTCAGGGCTGCTCTCCTGGGGTGCTTTGGCTGTGTCAGCCTCAGAGAGGGCTGGTGTCTCCCCAGGGGACAAAAAGACACAGGGCCTGGGCTCTGGTGTGTCTGAAATGGGCTGGGCACAGAGCTGGGGTCTTTACCAGGCTGGGAGGAGCTGCCCCGCTCCATCCCTGGCAGAAGGTGGGATTCCAGCTTTCGCACTTCTGGCTGGGTGACCTTGGCTGCGGAGCTTTGCCTGGCTGGGCCTTTGAGTCCCTACCGGGGAAGGGCTGGCTGTGGGGCCTGGATGAGCTCCTGGAGCTATGTCTCACCTTGGATCTCTGGCCTGACCACTGCTCCTGACCACTGGGCTGCTGGCCGAAATGCAGTTCTCATTGACCCCTGGGAAGTACTTAGCACCTCTGAACTTGCTCAGCTGTAGAATGGGAATTACAGACCCGCGTTGCAGACTGGTTGTGAGCTGTACCCTCAGTTTCTTTTTGAGGGGTGGCAGTGCTGGGATCCCTCCCCCTGCAGCTTGGGGCTCTTTCAACAGCATTTGGAATCCATAGTGCAGCACCTGCCTGGGGGTCTAGGTCAGGGCCAGGGAGGCCACCTAAGGGTCCTGCCTCATGCTCCCTAATTGTGGGTAAGGGTGGGATTGGTCCCCCACCCCTATGCCAGGCAACTGCTGTGCCACTGAGGTGCACCCCAGCCCTGGTTGTGAGATTTACACAGCACCTTGTCCTGTAACTGCCCCCCTCCAGAGGTCTGGAAATGCAAACGTTGGTTGAACTGAGTGCCTCGGACGGAACTAGCGGAGAGTCTGTTCCTGCCTGAGCCCTCCTCGCCTCAGCATCTCTCTTGCCTGTAGGGACCTGGTCTGCTTTGCATATCCCACAGGGTCAGGCTGTCCTCTTCTGAGACTCAACCTCTGTCTTGTCCCTGTCTTTAGTCTTCCTGCAAGGAGAATCCTTTTAACCGGAAGCCATCGCCTGCCGCGTCTCCAGCTGCAAAGAAGGCCACCAAGGGACCCAAGCCAGTGAGGCCACCTGCCCCAGGACATGGCTTTCCGCTCATCAAACGCAAGGTGTCAGCAGGGAGCCCCCAGAGACCCGGCCGGCCTGGGCCTGGCACCCTCCTCTCTGCAGTGCTCAGCTGGGTGTCAGGGCTGTTGTCCTCTGGTGTTCCAGAGGGGCCCTTGAGTGGCCTGCCTGGAAGGCTGGACTTGCGGCCAGGGGGTTTGGAGCAGGCCACACAAGTGTTCAGGTTCAAGTGCTCGTGTGAGGGGCTGCTCCTTAGAGTGGGTCCCTCCCATTCCCGTGGGGAAATCCTTTTGCAGTGGCCGAGAAGGGAGGAGTTTCTCCAAGGGGAAGGAGTTGTGTCTCAGAAGCATGGAGGGGTGGTGGTGGTCCTTACCCTGACCCGTGGCCACGCCCATGCTGGACGTGGGATAGAGCCTGGTTTCTGGAGCTCGCATGGCGTGTGCTGCCAGAAAGAAGGGGCACAGCTCCTGGCAGAGGCGGGCAGAAGTGGGTGGGAGGTCATTGTCCTTCAGTGACCAGGGTCCCATGGGCAGGTCCAGGCGGACCAGTACGTCCCCGAGGAGGACATCTATGGAGAGATGGATGCCATCGAGCGCCAGCTGGATGCGCTGGAACACCGCGGGGTCCTGCTGGAAGGGAAGCTGCGAGGAGGGGCCCATGGTGCGGAGTTGCCCGAGGGTCTGGTGGGAGGGGCTGGGGTGCTGGTAGCCCCTCTTCCTGGGGTTATAGAGCCGGGAGGTGCTGCCAGCCTCGGCCTGAGTGGGTGTCTGGCTTGCAGAGGGCCGCGAGGACGACATGCTGGTGGACTGGTTCAAGCTCATCCACGAGAAGCACCTGCTGGTGCGGCGCGAGTCCGAGCTCATCTACATGTGAGTCCTGCCTGTCCCGCTTGCACCGGTGCGGGACCCATAGCGCTCAGAACTGGACGCAGGGCACCACTCCGCGGGTCACTGGGCTCTGGGCAGAATGGCTCATCGCCGCCTTGTTCCAATCCCCCAGCTTCAAGCAGCAGAACCTGGAGCAGCGTCAGGCTGACGTTGAGTACGAGCTCCGGTGCCTTCTCAACAAGCCGGGTGAGTGCCTGCCCCGGCCTGGGGCTGTGAGGAGCGGAGCTGCATCTTCCTCTCTGGGCTGGAGAAGGGGCAGGGAGGGGCTTTGGTCCTCTAGGATGGCAGCGATTATAGCCGGTGACAGATAGCTAGAGCCAGGCGGGGTACCACGTGGACGGGGTGGTGGCATGGATGTGTGATCACACAGTGGTCACACATTGCTGTGTGACCTTGGGTGGTTTGTTTGCCTTTCTGGGCCTCACTGGCTTCATATGTGGCTGTGGCATGAAGTGAACCAGAGGCAGGGATGGCAGGAGTAGAACATCAAGCTGAGTTAGGCGTGGTGGCGCGTGCTTGTAATCCCAGCACTCGGGAGGCTGAGGCAGGAGGATTGCCTCAAATTCAAGGCCATCCTGGGGTACATAGTGAGTTCAAGGCCAGCCTGAACTACATAGTGAGCTTCTGTTTCAAATTAAAAATGAAAAACAAAAAACCCTCAAAACAATAAAATAAAAGAACGTTGGAGCCGGGAGCCAAGGCTTCTGACTCCTTTCCCGTGGCTCAGACATGGTGCCAGCTCTAGGCGTGGGCCACCGTCACCATCTCACAGATGAGGAGCAGAGACTGGAGCAGCTGGGGGCGCGTCCTTTGGTGCTGGAGCGAGCCTGTCCATGTACCCACAGCCCCTCCTGCCTCTGGGACTGTGGTCCTGTCTCCCCGTTGATGGGGAAGCTTAGGCGGCTGGACTGTCCCCAGGGAAGCCACAGAATGTCCGTGGCCTCCATTGCCAGCTGTGAGTCTCCAGGAACCTGGGGCAAGGCTGCCACTCGGGTGCCACAGTGACACCCCGTGGCCAGAGTGGATACAGCAGTCTGCTTCCCAGGCAGCCCGGCCCTGGGCTTCCTGCTTCTCCAGCCACGCTTGTCGTCCTGTCCCAGAAGTTGCTTTTGGACAGCGCTTCCCCAAGCCTCAGTTTCCCCATCTGTAGACTGAGGACATAACCCAGCCAGCCTCCAGATTTGAGAAGTGGCAGGGCAGGACCTGAACTTGGGTGGTGGGTCTGAAGCCCACTCTCTGCCCCAGGACTGGGCGGGGCACTGTTTCCTGCTTTGGGCGAGTTGAGGAGAGTCAGGGATGGGCGGCGGCAGATGTCGGGAAGGGAATGCTGAGTGGGGGCCCCCAGCCCTGGGAGCCCGCAGTTTGGGGGAGAGAGAGACCGAGGCGCAGGTGGCCCCCGCGGGACAGCTCTGGGCGTCCTTGTCATCTCACTCTAGTCCTGACTCCTGTGGTGCCACGGCCCGTGCACACCGTGCGTGAACGAGCACGGGCTCGAGCTCCAGCTGGAAGCCCTTTAACGAGGCGGCCTCTGTTCGTAGAGTGTGCGTTGCGCTCCCTGCCGGCCCCCTGCAGAGTGATTTTGGTGGGCAGCTTCGTGTCCTTGGTCCCTTCTGTGATGAGCTCCATTCTCCCCGGCCCTCCCCCCGGGCCCCGCCTTCCGGTGTACGCAGCACAGGGCCCTGCCCGCCCACTCAGGTGGCGTCTCCTGTTGTTCTGGGGAGCAAGGGGGTTTTCCTGCCTCTCACACCGGCCTGTCCCCCGCAGAAAAAGACTGGACAGAAGAAGACAGGAGCCGGGAAAAGGAGCTGATGCGGGAGCTCATGACCCTCATCGAGCAGCGCAACGCCATTGTCACCTGCCTGGACGAGGACCGGCAGAGGTGACACCGCTGGAGCAGAGGCTGCCACAGGCTGTGGCTGGGTTCCGGGGGTGGGACAGCTCCCTGGCCGAGCCTGGGACACAGTCGCACACCCGGGGCCAAGCCAGGCCTGTGCTCACTGCCAGTGACCCCAGCCTACCCGGGCCAGCCCCGTGGGGCTCAGAGGCTGCGAGGTTCCTCCTGTGGGCGCTCACTTCCCTTTCCTGTTCCAGGGAGGAAGAGGAAGACAAGATGCTGGAAGCCATGATCAGGAGGAAGGGTGAGTCCCGCCTGGGGGCTGGGGTTCTGCGCTTGAACTCGCGGGCTGGAGGGTGTAGGGCTGGAGCAGGTGTCATGGGAGTTGTGGGGTGTAAAGTCCCAGGCTGCTTGCCTGGGTCAGCAGCCTCAGGCAGGAGGGCCTGGCCTGTCCTTGCAAGGTAGCCATGGATGCCCAGGTGCCCACAGGACTGGTATTCGATGACACTTTCCCAGCATGGGTTTGCTGGCCTTATGGTTGGTTCCTCCTGAGACTGCAGATTGGCTGGGGTGGGTCTGCGGGTCACAGTGGCAGTGGCTGCTTGGGGTCATGTGTGCCTGGAGCAGCTACAGAGCACTGGCTTGACTTGGTTTCCACTAGCAACTCTGGCTTTGTGGGTGTCCCCACTCAGGCTTGAGTCAGATGGCTTGGGTTCCAGTCCCAGCTTGGCACACAGGCTGGGTGACTTTCAGCTCTGCCTGCACCGCCTCACTCCTGTGTCTGCAGAGCGGCGTGCCAGGGCACCCCTCCCCCGTGCATGCTGATTATAGAGACGACCTCTGTAGTGCACTTAGCCCGGGTCTGGCGCCTGCAGAGAGCTCAGCTGGGATCAGCTCACTTCAAAAGCCTGCATTTTCCTTGTTGGTAAAATTGGCGGCTGGTGTAACAGATGACCTCTGAGTTCCTCTGGCTCTGATTGTTGGTGTTTGTGTTAAGACCCGCAGGGCCATGAGCCCCAGTCTAGGTAAATGAACCTTTGAGTGTTAAGTGTGACACATATTGGGGTCACACAGATGCAAGTCTCCCAGTTCTTGCCAGATCACTGGAAGAGGATGGTCCCCACCCTGTAGGGAAAATGGTGACGAGAACATGAAGTGACTTGCCCATGGTTCCCATGGGAGGCAGGTGGCCAGGCCAAGCCCCTATTGTCCACACACCTGCTCAGTGACACAGGTCACTAACCCCCACCTGCCCTGAGAGGAGTCCCCTTCCCCACCTGGTAAAGCACTCCCTTCCTCTGCCGCAGAGTTCCAGAAGGAAGCTGAACCCGAGGGCAAGAAGAAGGGGAAGTTCAAGACCATGAAGATGCTGAAGATGCTGGGAAATAAGCGTGACACCAAGAGCAAGTCCCCCGGGGACAAGAGCTGACAGCGAGGGAAGCCACCGGGACTGCCCCCGCCTGGGTCGCACGGTCAGGGGAGCACCCTCTGCCCTCGGATCAGCCGAGGGCTGAGACAGCTCAAGGGCAGGGAGCCTCTGGGTGACCTCTCCCGTCTCAGGGTCCTCCGGCTGCTCAGGGCACCCTCTTCCCAGCACCCACACAGCTGGGACGCAGCCTGCCCCGCCAGGGTCTGACATACCCAGATGCCTTGAGGGACCCAAAGAGCAGGGGCCAGGGAGGGTGGTGGCTGAGCACGTGCACCTGCTCATCCCGCCCAGCCCAGCCCAGCCCAGCCCCTGGCCTGGCGGGGAAGCTTCTTGGCTGCTCTCCCTGCTGCACACACCAGGCAGGATATTCGGACCCCCAGTGCCCTCTGTAGGCCTCTGGACTGCTCCTCGTGGCTGGCCAGCAGCGGGGCTGCCTGACTGACTTCCTCCTGCCCAGCCGGGACCCTGTCCAGTGCAGGTGCCTTGAATCTCACGTCCCCTGGCTCAGGCGCTCTATTTATGAAGTCTCCAGTTGAGTTTGAGCTGGTCACTGAGTGGTCCGTGCTGTGTCAGATGCGAATGGGCCCAACGGGCAACTCACCTCTGCCTCCCTGAGTTCCTTCCATGGGAAGCCTCACCACACAGGGCCCTGATGGCTGTCCCAGGGCCGGTGGGCACCCCCGCTCGCTGTCCCAGTGCTGAGTCTCCTGCAGAGGGTCTTTGGGGGGCAGCCCTAAGTCAGAGCTCTTGTCCCCATCCTCAGCCTAGGGAGGTGCGCTTCAGGTAGGTGCTAACTCTGGTCCTTTAGTAAGTCTGACCCCTCATTTAGGCGTTCCTCCCCCAGCCATGCCTGGGGGTCGGGCCCATTTCCGTTTGTTGTCATCGCTACTCTGTATTCCGTTGTCTGTTTCCTCCTGACTCCTTCCCACCAGAGGACTGATGGCCACCAACCCACGGGGTGGCTGTGGAAGAGGATGAGCAATGACACAACTTTTGTCCAGGGACTGTGCCCGGTAGCTCTGGGTCAAAGCACTGTTCGATAAGCTCTGTCTGGGCACTGCAGGCCCCTCCCTCAGGCAGCTCGGGGAAGGGGCCGCACTGTGTTAACTTGAGGATGTTCCAACAATAAATGGAGACAACCTGAGTTCTCGGGCCCCAGCCATGCCTCCTGGCCAGGCTGCTCTGCTTCCGTTCCCCAGAGCGGCCTGGGCCAGGGTGGGCTCCAGGTGGCTGTGTCAGTGTCCCACATCGCAAGGGTGGCTGCCGTTACTTACGTCAGTGGTCGCTGCTGGGAATCAGTGTACACCCAGGGGTACTGGATCGGTTCCATTTTTTACGAGACTGGGGATCCAGATTCGCACGTGTGTAACCTGTAAATGTGAACCCCTACTCTGAATTTGTCCTGGGGTTCTCCAGTGTGCTGCCTGGAGACCATCCTTGGGCCCTGAGGTGGAGGCTGTGTCCTGTCATATTGCCGCCCTGGTCCTCAGGTCCTGAGGGGACGTGACACAGTCTTCCTATGGATGTTCCCGAGCCAGCCCTGATCTGGCTACTGCCATGCCCAGCCATGTTTGTTCTGCAAACCAAAACACAGGTCACACGGCCTGACCCATATGGCGGCATCTCGGTGTGGGAGCCAGCTGGCAGCATCGGTTGATAGTTCCAACATATTTTGATTTATGAGGATGGGGGAAACGACAGGATACTGGAGAAGGGAGGGCGGGTGGGTGTCAGAAACCTGAGGGAAGAAAGGGCCTGGTGTCTTGTGTGCCAGGCCAGGGCAGGAGTGGGGCCAGGTCACTGTGCAGCTTAAGTCGGGGCCTCACAGATGTACGAACCGCAACTGAGGCTCTGCGTTTTGTTCAGGGTCCCAAAACATGCCAGAGCTGGACCCGCAAAGCCAGGGCCCCTTCAGCCTGGGTGCCCCTACCCTGCTGCACCCCGTGGGCTGCATTTAGTGGGAGTCGGAGCGCTAACTTGAGGCTTGGAGGCTGCTTGCTGTTCAAATGCCCTTGGCTGCAGTATCTGGTGAGCTTCAGTTTTCAGATCTGAGCTACTTAGCTGAGCTCCGCGCCTCCCATAGCCAGTTGCCAAGGGAGCTTACAGGTGTCCCTTCCCGTTTCCTCTTGAATATGCAAAGGGGGAGCTAGAAACCATCTGAGCGCCACAAAATGTACACTTGCTTGCAGCCAAAAGGCAGAGAAGCCACTGTGTTCTACAAATCCTAACTCGGAGCAAAGAGGCTTCATTCCTCTGAAAACAAGGTAGTTCACAGAATGACCCAAGTTAAATAGTTTTATTGGCCAATTAATTGGTGTGGTGAAACATTTGCCCAGGGTTATAAGAAGTACAATACGTAGGTCCTAAGGCAGGTGGAAGAAGGCCTCACCCTCCGTCTGCAGTGCAGGAACGAAAGGAGCGCGACGTGCGGAGGCGGAGGTGGCAGGGAGAGAGCTGCTGCGTGCCTGGCGACACGTGTCCACAGTGGGCAGACCTGGGCCTTGCTGTCACTGAGAAAGGACTCGAGTCTGTGACTGAGTGGCTCACAGGCTCCGGCAGCGGCCCCAGCACTCCAGGTGGTGTCCAGGAGGGCCCTGTCTGCACCACTGTCACAGGCGGGGCAGTGCTGGCCACCATTTGATGTGGCTGAGGACCAGTTCCGGTGGCTGCAGCCATCGCGGTGGGCTGCCCGGTCCCATCTCTAGGCGGTGGCCAGAGCCTTCCTAAGTTCCTCACTCCTCTTGTGGTCAATGTCTTCCATTTCCCGTATTTTCTACAAAGGGGACCGGGGAAAGCCAGTGTTGGATAGGAGAAGGAGCCGCCATGATGTGGGCCAGAGCTCGAGACCTCCTGTGACTTTAGCCACAGCGCCCCGTGGTTTCTCCTCCCGCCTGTGCTCCACACACGTGGCCGCCCACCCCTTCCCTTCGCCCCGGCCGGTTTCTCCTACCTGGGAGATCTCGGTGAGGATGATCCCATGGTACTGCCTGCCCTGTCCCAGGGCCTCCATGGAAGCCAGGAACTCCTTCCTCTCCTGGATTTCCCTCACCACTGGACAGAGGAGGAGGGACATCAGTGCAGGGACATGGGGGACCCCAGGCTCCTGTGATTTTCTTGTTGGCCCCATCCAGTTACACACACACACACACACACACACACACACCCGCTCACATTCTTCAAACCGGTCCAGCTCCTGGGCTGGCTCCTCCTGCCGCACAGGGGGGCCTTTTCTCCTCTGTTCCCCTGGGTCCTTCCCAGTGGCAAAGATGTTTTGGAGTCTTTGTTTCTCCTTCTCCAGATCTCCTGCAGGGCCCAGAAATGGCCTTGTTAGGCATGAAGGTCGCCCACATCTGTGTGTTTCCAGCCAGGTGTGCTACGGGGTTTATGCGTCAGGGGGCAAGGGCTTTACAGACTGCAGCTTCACCCCTGGGTGCGCCTGAGCTTGTCTGGTCAAGACAGGAGGAAGCGGGGGTGGAGGGGAGGAAGGAGACGTCTGAAACGCATGCACGACTGGTTCGGGGCAAGGCCAAGAAAGCTCAGGGTCCTGCGGTCTCAGTGGTGGCATCCCGGGTGCTGGGAACTGCAGGGACATCTCAGGAGGGTCTGACCAGAAGTCATGGCAGACGTGAGGGAGGAGATGGGGAAGGGGCTCTGTGATGTGGCCTGGAGCGCAGAGGAGCTTGACCTAAGGGACCCGGCGGAGGGTGAGAGGAGAGCAGCAGTGACACCTGACTTGGCTTGGTGGCATCCGGTTAATCAGGAAAAAAAGTCAGGGAAGAAAATAGTGACAGAGGCCAGCCTAACTGGTTTCCCTGAAGCTCCCCAAGCTAGAGCAGGCCCAGACTCAAAAGCATGCGTGTCAAGGCATAGACTGGTTAGACCCCCGCCCGCCTGCCCTGTGGGTTACTTGTTGTCGGTTTCCCATGTTCCTGGAAGATAGGAAGCTACTAGCCCAGGCCCTGTCACTTACTGGTGGCTTGAGGCTTGAACTGCTCACGGCTGTAGGCCCCATTGGCCTGGCACAGGTTGGCCGGCCGGAGGTGGGACCGGGTTGTCAGGATGGGAGGCAGGTAGACGGCCGAGGCTGGCTGCTTGGAAGGTGAGGCCATCTGGCTTGATGTTGGGCTGCACTGTAGGGGCAGAGGGTCTCCCCCTGGGGACAGAAGGTTGGTGAGAGAACCTGTGTAGTTTTTTGTTTGCTTGTTTGTTTGAGACTATGCAGTTCAGGCTCAATTTGAACTCATTATGTAACCCAGGCTGGCCTCAAACTCATGGCAATCCTCCTGCCTCAGGCCTCCTGGGTGCTGGGATTACAGGTGTGTACTACCATACCTGCTTTTTTTTTTCCCCAAGTAAAGGTAATGCCTGCCTGTTACAAGTCAAATGGTGCAAAAAATTCTTTTCCCCCTCCAAGCCCACCCTCTGCAAACAGCAATGGTGCTTTGGCAGTTTCTCCTTCCTTTTTTATAATGTGTTCAGAGATCCTCATGCCTATATTTTTTATGTACACACAAGATTGACTTTTCAAAACACTGGATCATACCGTCTCGTCATCAGCAACTGACTCTTTTCACTCGGTAATTTACCATGGAGATCTTTTAGAAAAGTCTGTTTCTATATAACTTATTTTTATAGCTATATGCTGGTTAGAATGGTTATATTATTTATTTGACTAGTCCCCTAGTTTCACAAATTCAGGTTTCCAGGTTTTTCTGTCAGTTTTTTTTCTTTTTTTTTTTTTCCACTACTTCCAACAGTGCAATAAATATTCTTGTACACCGAGTCTCTGGATGGTGCTTTTGTTTTTCTTTTTCTTCCACTTGAGCTGTGGGTCGGGAGGGACAGTTCGGGTGGTATTAGACACCTATCCTCCTGCTTCGGCCCATCTTGGGCCACACCTGCGCCCCTTCCTAGGCCACGAAGTGAGTCTGCTCCTATCGCAGTTCTGATCTGGTCCCTCTCTACCTCTGCAGCCTTCTACAAATCCACTCATCAAGTACAGATTCAGCATTGCCTCTGTGCCAGGCCCTGACCACGGGGAAGTGAGGCAAAGTCTGACCTTCCTGGGGCATGTGTCAGGGAGGGGTATAGATGACAGTATCGTAAGTGGCACAGTGTTAGATGGCTGGGTCACCAGTATGTTTCAGTGGGACTTAAGAGTTTTTGATACAGGGTCTTACAGTGTAGTTTCAGCTGGCCTTGAACTCACTGTCTAGCCCAGGCTGGCCTGGAACTGGAAGCGATCCTCCTACCTCAGCCTCCCCAGTGCAGGGATTACAGGTGTGTGGCACCTCGCCTGACTGGAACTATCACTTTTAAAGGATGACAAGGGAGGCCTTGTGAAGAAGAAGGGGACATCTGAGAAAAGAGCAGAGCTTGCCGAGGAGCCCAGCTCTGCAGACACCTTGGGGCAGGGCCTGCTGGGCACAAGGACAGCTGAGTGGAGGCCGGAGGCTCAGGCTCAGGTGGAGTGCGGGGTAGGGGGCTGGGGGAGAGAAAGGAGACCAACCTTTCAGAGCCACTCAACTCGTGGAGCGAAGTTAGGGCCCCAGCGTTGACAGACAAGATGGGGACAGGGATCCAGGTCAGGTGTGAAGGCCAAGCAGACAGGGCTGGGAGAATGAGGTGTGCAGGGGGTGACACAAGGTGGGTGTTCCAAGGAGTCAGGAGGAGGCAGCTGCCATCTGCCCCCTGCATGCCCCTTCTCCAACCCTCAGCCTAGAGCCACGCCACCCCTCCTTTCTCTTCCCGAAGAGACGCTGTGCTCCCAGAACATCCCCTCCTCTGCCCTCCTGCTCCTGTCTCTGCCTCTGCTCGGTCTCAGCAAAGAGCCTGGTATATGGTGGCTGTGACAGCATCTGAACCAACGTCAAAGCAGCCCAAAAGGCTTGGGCACGGTGAGGGAGGTGCCGAGGGAACTGCAGGAGAAGGCGGATGACACCAAGGCCTGGAGGCAACTTTTTTTTAAAAAAAGAAAACATTCTTTTCACTGACTCCTGTAGGCCTGGTCCTGGTGGCCTCAGTCGCTGTGTAGTTCAGGCTGGCCTTGAACTTGCCATGCAGCCTAGGTTGGCCTCGAACTTACGGCAGTCCCCTGGCCTCATCCTCTTCCTGTCTCAGCCTCCTGAGTGCTGGGATCACAGGTGTGTTGTTCCTTAAGGATCAGGCACCTGCTTCAGTGTTGGGTCAGCGAGGCAGATGCTGTTTTAGTGTGTGTAGGGGTCTCTTTGTGGCTATGGGACAGAGGACACCATATTGCTAGATTTCTGAGGACAGAGACTGAGTCATAGGATTCAAATGTGTGATGGCACCAATCTTTGGTGGCCCGATGTGGGAGGGTGTCCACAATGTGGGAGGAGATCTGACCTAACCTAGCCTGACAGCCGCTCTCCTCCAGCTGGGGCTGGACGGGTGCTGCCCATGTTGGCCTGTGACTCTGCCCTCCGCCTGCCTCTGTGGTTGATCAGGTGCCCTACTGATAGGCACCTGATACTGAATTTCCTTAGAGGAGGCAGTAGTGGCTGGGCACGTAGGGACACGCCTGCAATCCCAGCTCTTGGGAGGCCAAGGCTCGAGGATCAAAAGTTTGAACCTGGTCTGGGCAATTTAGTGAGACCGTGTCTCAAGATAAAGAAATTTTTTTTTTTAAAAAGTGCTGGGGATGTAGCTCAGTATGGAGGGGCTAAGAATAATTGCCAGTGTCAAAGAATCAGAGAGAGAGAGCGAGAGAGACAGACAGAGAGACAAAGAGAGAGAGACAGAGACAGATCGAAAGAGGGAGAGACACAGAGTCAAGTTCTTCTAAGCCCACAGTTTCACTTGAAGCTACCAAAAGCATCTTTCTCTTTCGGCAGAGGTTTTTGGTAGATTCAAGTGAAACTCTGAGGGTTCAGACCTTCTGGTATTCTCTGTCTCTCTGACTGTGTGTCTCTCTGTCTGTGTCTCTGTCTCTCTGTTTCTATCTCTGTCTCTGTCTCTCTCTCTGTGCAGAAGATGGAACCCAGGCCTTGCACATACTAGGCAAGTGTTCTACCCCTAAGTTAAATCCCTAACTCTTTTAAATGTAATTTTTTTTTTTAAATTTTGAGGCAAGGTCTTCCTAAATTGCCCAGAATGGCCTAGAACTTGGAATCTTCCTGCCTCACGCCCTTGAGCAGGTGGGATTACAGACATGTGCCAATACACACAGCCTATATCTCTCTTGAAGGCAGCCCCAGGGATCTCTGTTCTGACCCAGTAAATGTTGAAACAGGTAAGCCAGAGAAAGCAAGATCACTTCCTAGATCTTAGAGGGCACCTGGCTTTTACACTTTCACTTTTTTTCTTTTCTTTTAAAATAACACATGGCTGGGGATATAGCTCAGCAGTGCAGGGCCTGCCTGGCAATTGCGAGGTCCTGAGTTCAATTCCTGGTACCAAAAATTAATTAATTAATTAAAAAATAAAATAAAATAACACAAAGCATGTTGAGGGTGACCTGTGGAAAGGCTTTGGGTATTTGCCCTGAGGTGGAGTTCAGCCAGTCACTTTGCTTCTGAGAGCTAAGCCATGAATGGATAAAACTGTGAATAAAAAAAAACCAAAACTGTGAATAAGATGCATACATGCTCCCTCTAGAGGGCTCATCTGTTTATGTCAGGGAGGGTCAGGCTGCAGGCACCACAGGGTTGAGACTCTTTGGGGAGTGGTTTGGGGGAGTCTTGACTGGGCCAAGATTCCTCAGGAAGCTCAGCTAGAGCCTGACTGCAGGAGGATTACTGTACCAGGATCCTGATCAGAAAAAGCAAAGGCCTCACAAGGTCTAAAGACCAGAAATATTTGGTATATTCCATTTTTTTTTTTTTTTTTTTGCCTATCTTTAAAAAATGATGTCCTCTCCCCTTCAACACAACATAAAAGCTGTAGTCCCAATCTCTCAGCCCAGGGAGCCTCTGCCAGCCAGCTGCCTCTTTTTTTTTTTTTTTTTTTTTTTTTTTGAGACAGGTTTTTTGTTTTGTTTTGTTTTTCTCCGGTACTGGGAACTGAACTCATGACCTTGCGCTTGCCAGGCAGGAGCTTTGCTGCTGAGCTAAATCCCCAGCCCCTTTGAGGGAGGTTTTCACTATAGAGTTCAAGCTGGCTTGAATTCACTTTGTAGCCCAGGCTGGTCTCAAACTTGCAGCAATCCTCCTGCCTCAGCCTTCCAAGTCCTGGGACCTCTTACCTTTTATGGTGTCCATGATGTGGCGCTGCTGGAAGTTCGTGAGTTTCGATTCCTTCATCATTGCTGCAAGAGAAAGCACTTCCATGAGGCTTCCTGAGCTGTACTTCCTTCATCTCCCCCTAATGAAATTTCAAATTAGATCACCTCCTACCTGCTTCTTTTTTTTTATGGCAAGTCTTTACCTAAACTTTTTTTTTTTTTTTTTTGAGATGGGACCTTGCTGTATTACCCAGGCAGACTCAAGGGATCCTCTTGCCTCAGGCTCCTGAAGGCAGAACTGGTGCTGTTTGTGTGTGTGTGGCGGCGGGCTGGGTACTGGGGATTGACCTCAAGGCCTTGTGCATGCTAGGCAAGCACTCTACCCCAGAGCTACATCCCCAGCCCTGCTGCTGTTTTACATAAAGCTACAGTTTAATTTTATTTATTTATTTATTTATTTATTTATTTATTTATTTATTGTCTTTTTTGAGACAGGGTCTTGCTATGCAGTTCAGGCTGGTCTTGAGCTCACTTTTAGCTCAGGCTGGTCTCAAACTTACAGTGATCCTCCTGCCTCAGCCTCCTGAGTGCTGGGATTACAGGTGTGAGCCGCCACGCCTGGCTTATATATATATATTTTTTTGTCATCTTTTTGAGACAGGGTCTCACTATGCAGTTCAGGCTGACCTTGAGCTCACTTTGTAGCCCAGGCTGGCCTCGAACTTGCAACAATTTTCCTGCCTCCACCTCCGGAGTGCTGGGATTACAGGCGTGCGCCACCACGCCCGGCTCTGGCTTACATTTTTGAAGACTTTTTTGGTGTGTTTGTGTGGTGCTGGGGATTGAACCTAGGTTCTCATGCATGTTAAGCATGTGCTCTACCACTGAGCTATACCCCCAGTCCTACATATTTTTATTGTTACCCTCCTACTCTAACGTTAGCTCTGTAATAGCAAGAATTTTGGGAGTTATTTTTTTCTGTTTCTTTTCCATTGCTGTATCCTCAGCACCTAAAACAGTACCCAAAGTACATGGTACATTTAAACATTTTTTGGTTTAGTAAATGAATGAATATTTGTTCATGTGCCTAGGCAGAAGCTACAGTTATGAATACAAACACTCACAGTCCTGCCTGATAGAATTTATCATCTAGGAGCCGGGTGTGGTGGCACATGCCTATAATCCCAGCTCTTGGGAGGCTGAGGTAGGAGGATCGCTGCAAGTTTGAGGCCAGCCTGGGCTCCATAGTGAGTTCAAGGCCAGCCTGAACTACATAATGAGAACTTGTCTGGAAAAAAAGAAAAAGTGGCTAGGCATGGTGGTGCATGCCTGTAATCTCAGCATGTGGGAGGCTGAAGCAAGAGGATTGCTACACGTTTGAGGCCAGCCTGGGCTCCATAGTGAGTTCAAGACCACCCTGAACTGCATAGCAAGACTCTGTCTAAAAAAGAGAAAAAGGGCTGGGGATATAGCTCAGTGGCATAACCACATGCCTGGCAAGTGTGAGGTCATAAGTTCGATTTCCAGTACCAAAAAATAAAAAAGAGAAAAAAAATTTCACCATCTAAAGGGTAGATGTGACACAAAATACCTGACTGTACATTATTCTGAGCCCAGTGAAGGGAGATGTATTCAGTAGTGAGAGGGCTGCCACGTAACAGCAGGTCTCCTGTGGTGAGGAGGAGGAGGAGGAGGAGGAAAAGGAGGGAATGCTGACAGTGTGTTGTAAAGGATGCACAAAAAGTTGGACCCTAGCACACACCTGTGATCCCAGCACTTGGGATACTAAAGCAGGAAGATTGCAAGTTTGATTTTTTTTTTTTGTTTTTTTTTGAGGCAGGGTCTCGCTATGCAGTTCAGGCTGGCCTTGAGCTCACTTTGTAGCCCAGGCTGGTCTGGAAATTGCAGCGATCCTCCTGCCTGAACCTCCCAAGTGCTGGGATTACAGGCGTGTGCCACCAAGCCCAGCTAGATTACAAGTTTGACAGCAGCTTGGACTACATTATGAAAACTTGTCTCAAAACAAAATCAAAAAAGTAGGAGTTAGCTATGCCAAAATTCTTAGTTTTCTGACTTTTGGCCCTTTGTAGGCAGTACCCCGAAACCCTTCCTGAACCCGAGGCTCCTTCTTTGTGAGGGAAAACAGCCATTGCCAAGCCATAGGTCAGGTAGGGGAGAACTGAGTTACACAGGGTGTTACTGACACTCCTCTCCTGCGTTCTCTGCACTCCCAGTCCTCTAACCCGGATCACTGACCTTTGAGCAGCTTGCAGGTTTCTGGGGTGTAAGCGGCCGGCTTGCGGCAGCGCGCAAACCCTGTTTCTTTCGTCACTGCATTCACCCTTTCCTTTGAAGCCATTGGAGGACCCTAGGAAGGAAAGATGCAATGACATACCTCCGTCTCCTAGCCCCAATCTCTCCTTCATCCTCCGGACTGGGCAGATGCGGAGTCCTCATTCTGACTCCGAGTGCCTGTGGCAGATAAGTGCCCCTGGGAGGAGAAAGCGTTAGAAGAGTCCCGGTCACACAAAACTGAAACCTCACCCTAAAGACCTCGACTTGATGCACCCCACTTTACATCGTATGTCTGTGTCCTGCAAAGATAACGTAGGATCCAGGCTGCAAGCGCTCGCAGCGCTTGGCTCTGGTTACCATGGCAACAAACGCGGCCCCTCTGCGCATGCGCATCTTGCCTCGCTAGCTGCTTCCCGGAAGTGACTGCCTCGGGAGGTCATAGCGCAGGCGCAGGATACGTGTGGTGGTTCTCGAGGTAGAGGCTCGCAGTTTGCGGATTCTGCGAGCGGCTTTCGCGGCGTGGTTGCGGCGGGAGCGTCATGTCAGACAACGAGGACAAGTGAGTACGCCCTCGGAGTGGCCTTTGCGAGAGCCTCAGAGGGAGAGTTGGGTTTTGAGGGGGCCGGCAGAGCTGAAGGGAAGAGCGGGACCTAGGAGCACAGACCTACCCAGAAGTTGGACACAGAAGGGTTCGGGCTCGAGAGTCCAGTGTAGGTCAGCGAAGACGGTGTTAGAAGACGGTCAACACACTTCGGGTTAGAAGACGGGTCAACACACTTTCCTCTGAGAACCCCTCTGAGCCGGGCTGTGTGTCGTGTAATGGGAATACTGTATTGAGAGGAATACGGGGTTGTGTGAGTCTAGTGGTGCTGGAAGCGGGAGGTAAGAAGTAACCCAGAGGACGATCTGGGACGGCTTCCCCGGGTGGTAAAGATCCGGGGTTCCAGAGAAATCAGGGTCTTGTACTAGGGTGATAGCAGTAGAGGTGGTGAGAAATGGATTGGAATTCTGGTTCTGTTTAAAGGTAGAGACTAGCCGGGCGTGGTGGTGCACGCCTGTAATCCCAGCACTCGGGAGGCTGAAGCAGGAGGATCGCTGCGAGTTCGAGGCCAGCCTGGGCTACAAAGTGAGCTCAAGGCGAGCCTGAACTGCAGAGCGAGACCCTGTCTCAAAAAGACCAAAAAAAAAAAAAAAAAGGCAGGGACTAAAGGATTTCCTGATGGGTTGGAGGTGTGGAGTCAATGCAGAGATCGAAGGTGAAAATACAGGCGTCCTTAGTATAAGTGTGTTGGTTCAAACCAAAAGACCCTCAGGGCAGCGAGGGCCAGTGGAGAACAGATGAGGGTGAGTGATGCAGCTTGGAGTCCCCAGTGAGGTGGGGTCCCCTTGGAGCGACCCTTTGGAGTCCAGTGAGGAGAGATTTTCTTAGGAAAGAGGAAGGAGGGGCCCAGAATGCAAGCTGATCAAGCTGAATGAGAGAAAGAATTGTCTGCTGGATTGAGCAACGTGGAGATGAGTTTGGAAGAGAGTGGCTTATTTATTTATTTATTTATTTATTTAAGTCTTTTGAGACAGGGTCTTGCTATGCAGTTCAGGCTGGCCTTGAGCTCACTTTGTAGCCCAGGCTGGTCTTGAACTTGCAATGATCCTCCTGCCTCAGCCTCCCAAGTGCTGGGATTACAGGCGTGGGCCTGATTATTAAACGGATATTTATCAAGTGCCTCCTATATGTCAGCTAACACACAGATCCATGCCTCTTTGATTCTAGTGATTAACTGTTCTCTTCTGTACAGTTTTGATGGTGATGACTTTGATGATGTCGAGGAAGATGAAGGACTAGATGACTTGGAAAATGCTGAGGAGGTCAGTATTCTGCTTGTTACAGTTTATATCTCAATTCCCCCGAGAGCCTCATTCATTGGTAGGTGGGGCTTTTGGAGAGTGGCTGGATTATCCGGGATTATAGCTGACTTGCTGTAGGAGGTGGGGTTTGGTTGGGAGCGGTGGTCATAGGAGGTGTGGCCTGGGTTTATCTCCCTCCCGGGTCGCTCCCTGTGGTCTCCTTCGATGGTTCCTTGCTGGTGTCCTATGAGCAGCCCCTCTGCCATGCCATTGTACGTTGCAGCCAGCTGTCTGTGTACTGAAGCATAAGCCAGAATAAACCTCCTTCCTTTAAATCGTCAGTGTCAGGTATTGTGTTTCAGCAGCAAGAGAGTGGCCTAAGACAAGCCTTAGGCTCCCACCTCTGCAGCCCACGTGCCAAGAAGCAAGGTAGATCCTAAATACCCAAATGTTGCTGCTTCTCATTTGAGGTCTGGATCCTACCATACGCATCCCAGTTAGAGTGATCAATTTTCCAGTCCTGGGTAGCAGAGCAGCCCTGCAAAGTGGGCCTTGGCCAGTTGGTCCACAGCCCATGGCTTCTGGGATAGTTAGTTCACACTGATAGGTGAAACATCACCTTCATTCATTCAGCAAACATGTCTTGACTGTTTATTACCTGTCAAGTGCTCTGCAGGAGCTGTATAAGGAGCCACGGGGTCAGTGCCAGAGGTCAGCGGGGCCCAGATGAGGCAGGATTTCAGAGCCACAGGCAGTGGAAAGCCATTGACAAGTTTTGAACCAGGGAGTGCCATGGTCCAGTTTTCATTTTCATAAGCATATTCTGGCCTCCAGAGTGCGGGGTGAATTGGGGACAAGAGTGGGAGACAGATTAAGAACCTCTGGCTCGGACGGGGTTGTTGGTGTAGGTGATGAGAAGATGATGAAAGGTGTATTTTAGGGGGTTGAGCATGGGCCGAGAAAGTACGTACAGTTTGACAAGGAGCAGCTAGCTGGCTGGGTTGCTAGCTTCATGAATAAACAAGGCTTTCTGTCCAGTGTGACTGGAGTGAGAACTGCATGTCTCCTAGAGATTTCTTGACTTTTAGGCTGGGAAGCCAAAGCCCTTCCTTCTGTAGTTCCCCGCTGCATGGCACCTCGAGGCCTGCTCTGCATGGCGCCTGCTCATTTGCGTCAGAAGCCTGCACCTTCCAGTCCCTTTCCCATCCCTGTTCTTTGGATTTTGCCTCCTAGCTGTGGCTCCACCATGCTGCTGTTTCTCCACTCCGAGGGCCGCAGGGTGGTTGGGCTGTCATTGCTGCTCACCCACAGGCTGCCTTCTTGCAGGCACCACCTGGTTGCGGCTGCCCCGTCTCACTCAGCTCCGTTCCACTTGCTGTCCAGCTGCCAACAGTCACTGTTCTCACCTGCCCGTGTGACCGGTTGTTACCGGGCTTCTGCAGTGATGTCACAGCTTCTGCCCTCGCCTCTCCAGATTATTCTCAACAGAATCTACAGGGTGACCTTGTCCGTCTCAGTCAGACTGTCTCTCCTCTGCTTAGAACCCTCCTCAGGAAGTGGCAGGAACCCGTACAGAGTCTTCCGTGATCTGGCTGCCTGCTTCCTCTGTGATCTTACGTGCGCCTGCTGTTCCTTGGCTTGTTTGTCTTTGGTGGTGTGTCGTGCCGGGGAATCATAATCCGCAATTAGTTGCCCAAACCTATCACGTTCTCTTCTCCCTCTGCCTTTGCACTGTTACTCCACCTGCCTGGATGTTCTTCCCTATGGTCGTGGCTTGGCAGCCCCTACTCGTCCTTCTAGATCAGCTGTCTTGTCTGTGACCCATTTGGGTCAGTCTTCCTGACACCAGAGTCAGTTAGATGTCTCCAGCAGCTTGTTAATAACTGCTATTTCCTCTAATTTTTGTTGTTTTATTTGAGACAGGGTTGAAGCTGGCTTTGAACTCACCATGTAGCCTAGACTGGCCTTGAACTCACAGTGATCCTCCTGGCTCAGCCTCCTAAGTGCTGGGACTGCTTCTGCTTCCCCTCAAGGCCGTGACTTCTCAGAGACTGGAAACTCTTAGCAGTGGGTCTCAGTGCCTGTTGCAGTGCCCTGGCTCAGGACTGGCACTTAATAAGCAGTTGTTTGATGTTTGAATACGTAACTCTTCCCACCCTCACCATTGCTTTACTGGCTTTGCTGGTAACTGGGTCAGGTACCCTACCTGATAATGCGTGCTTGTGCTCAGGGTGTGCTTAGGGTTTGCTCATAGACTTCCTACAGGGCCAGCATTCTGCGACCGTCCCCTTTCCAGGCCCTGCTTCTGTCCCTTCTGGATGAGCAGCTGGCTGTGCATTCCTGATCATGATTCCTCCTAGTGCCTAGGTCTGAGGGTCCGGCCCACATAGCTGACTCTGCAAGCCCCTGGCATGGGGACTGTAATTCCTGCCTCCTAGATTATCATGAGGATTACACGAGTTAGTGAGGGGTTCCATGTCCCTGGCATCCAACCAGCATTAATGGTGATGGCAGTGGTTGTCACTGTCACCGACACCTCACCCACCCAAAAAAGACACCCTGAGATTTTCCTTGTTCTGTCTTGTGTCTAGGAGGGACAAGAGAATGTGGAGATCCTTCCCTCTGGGGAGCGACCGCAGGCCAACCAGAAGCGAATCACTACCCCGTACATGACCAAGTATGAGCGAGCCCGAGTGCTGGGGACCCGAGCGCTACAGATTGCGTGAGTGTGAACCCTCACTGTCCTTCGTCACGCAACCCTGCCCCTGCCCAGCCTGGACCTAAACGCAGGTGGGCTGTGGCAGCACTCAGCAGGCCAAAGCTGTTTTGTTTTGATTTTGTGGTACTGGAGATTGAACCCAGGGTCTTCACACAGAGCTACGTCCCAGCCCTTTCTTCCTGCCTCAGCCACCTAAAATGCTGGGTTTATAGGCATGTGCTATGCTCTTGTGCCTTTTTTTCTTTTTTCTTTTTTTTGAGACAGGGTCTTGCTGTGTAGTTTAGGCTAGTTTTGAACTCACTATGTAGCCCAGACTAGCCTTGAACTCTTGGTGATCCTCCTGCCTCAGCCTCCTGACTGCTGGGGTTACAGGCATGCACCACCGTACCTGGTTCAGGGTTGCAGTTTGTAGCTCAGGCTGGTCTCAGATTTGTTATGCTCCTGCCTCAGTCTCCCAAGTGCTGGGATTACAGGTGTGTACCACCATGCCCAGTTTTTGGCTTTTCTGATACAAGGTCTCCCTGTGTAGTCCAGGCTGGTCTTGAACTCGCTGTGTAGCCCAGGCTGGCCTTGAATCTATAATCCTCCTGCTGAAGGGTGGGGGTTGGGGCACAGGTGTACGCCACCACCCCTGGTCTGAAGCTGGTCATTGATGTGAGGGAGATGCCAGCCTAGCAAGGTGGGGAGGGGCTTCACGATGTGAGAGCCCAGAGCAGTGGTGGGCTCCAAGGGAATCAGCGATTTCCAGCCTTTCCTTTTCTCCTAAGTTCAGAGGAGCAAGATCCAGGAAGAGACAGTAGACGGGGGAGACAGGGTGAGGAT